TCTTTACAGGTAGTCTAGTAAAATTTAGTCATTAGTAATCATTCCAATGACCACCACTAAAAGATGTGGTCTGATGTAAAGAAACCACAAATCCACTCATTATATTTGTGTTTAATGTATAAAAAAAAATCATTATGTGTATAATTTTTTCTTCAGTCATGTTATTTCGTTTAAAATTAACTTAATTAATAAGAGGATTTAGTACTAATCTGTAATTGATATGTTGGATAAATTTCCTGTTATTTAGTAGGCATATCCAATAACTAGAATGAATATTAAGTTCACCTGAATGTTTCACAGGGTGGATAGATAGGAGAAATTGTTGGTACCATGACCACATGATATCATTATAATGGAGTTTGCTATATCTGCTGGAGTGTTTACTGCACTTTACTTGAACTATTGGGTTACTAAGTTTAAAAGGCTTTGTTTTTGATTCCCAGGCTTAGGCCAGCCAGAATAATTCGACCCAAAGCCACCCAAGAACATTGAAGAGAAAATGGTGAATGATATCTGAAAAATGGGACCATCTCATCAGCAGGTAAAATGGCACGTGCCAAATAATAAAATGAATGGCCCATGGAGCAGTGATTAGTCTCCCTAAGCTGGAAAGTACACTGCTAATGTGGACGTGACCTGAGGAGGAGTTTGGGATCAAACAGAACTGATGGACAAGTTGCACAGAACACATTTTGTTCTGTCACCATATTGTCATCACAGTATCAGTTTTCTTCCCCTGCTAGTAAAATGTACAACCAAGAAAGGTCTGGGCCGTTTCCTTAATCATTTCAGACAGGTCACTGTATGGAAAGGAGATATTCAGAGACAGACAGGTCGCGTTTTTGTTCAACTTGGGGTATGATGGTGGGTAAAACAAAAAATACGTTACCTAGCTAACTAATGAATGAATATTTGCTGTATAATTCTTATCAATGCTATAAGTGTAGCTACCAGTTTGGCCGCCAGTTTTGATTTCATTCCTGTCGCACGCTCAATCCTTTTTTGGCTGCACCTTTTTTTCACATCTTAAGTGTTTTTGATTAGATATGTTACTTTTTGTCAATAAACACCATCAAACTACAGCAAGTGAGAAAGTGACACTCGATAGTAACCAACATTAGCTTTAGGATTACAATCCTATTGTTCGGAAAAGACCTATACTTTATAGAACCAACGAAATTCTTTAGTTTATCCTTTCTAAAACAGTGTTAATAACTTCCTTTATAGTAACGCCATGAAATCTAGATTAACAGTTTCTTCTCATCACCTGCACGTATTCGATACAGCCGTATCAAGCATCAATATCTATGCTAATATCACGTAACGCTAAATGCTCTTTAATTTAGGAGATGTTCATAAAATTTAACAAATTTTTGCTTAAAAGTTGACAATGAATAATAAATAATAACCACCCATCCCATGATTTTTTTGAAAACTTGAGCTAGAAACTGCTAATCTAGTTTGTTTGGCCTAACCAATACTTGTGTATCAGCACGTGCTTTCACTCTAGTTTTGCTGCTTTAAATCAGACGTCTTTAATGGTAATGTCAAAAAACTAAAGATGGTCTACTGATACTCTTAGTTGAAGCTGTAGTAAGAATTTTAGATCGATAGCTAAGGTAACTTTTTTGTAGGCGTGCGCAAGAATTTTGGTCAAATTTGATCGGTTTTTGTTGAATAATTTTGCACACGTGGCTTATATTTAGACCACATTTTATACCTAATTGTAAGTTTTAAAGAACTATAAGTGTACCATATTTGAAAAAAATCCATAAAAGGTAAGTATGTTTTTATATCAAATAAAATTTCCATACTTTTGGTGCGAAGAAAAAAATAGGAAGAACTTCTCAAAATTGGAAATTTTATATCTGGTGTATTTTTTAACGGATTGCGTTGAAATTTGTTATGTGAAGTAAGGGTCCAGTAGTGCCGTCCCTAATTTAGCAGTGCAAGATTAGAGGAAAGGTAGCTAGTCATTACCATCCACCGCCAACTATTGGACTACTCTTTTATCAACGAATAGTGTGATTAATCATCACATTATAACGCCCCATGGCTGAAAGGGCGAGCATGCTTGTTGGGACGGGGATTCGAACCTCCGCCCCTCAGATTGTTAGTCGAGCGCCCTAACCACCTGGTCATGCCGGGTCACACTGAAAATAAGTGACAGTCCGAGCTACAGAAAGTGGAAAATTGCTAAACTATCACTCCTGTTAGAACTTGGAGAAACTCCATAATTACAAAATTGAAGGTGGCGCCTTTATTGGCAAAACAATGGTCATGCATAAATGAAGTTTTTGTGAAACATACAGTTGTCATTCTTGTTTTTCTTCAATTCAATCGTGTATATTAGGCACCATTCCCATTGTAAACCACATGAGTTCTTTTGGTTGCTTGAAAGTAGCTGGCACATTAACGAAGCAAAACGGCACAATTAAAACGTCATACAAGCCTTCTCTGGATGCAGTCTAGGATCTGCTTTCATTGTCTAGCTCGATTTACCAATACAGTACTCTCAGACTGACATATGTGCCCATCAGTGGGAACACGCATTACCATGTTCAACCATCTGAAGTCTACACAGAACTTCAGGAGATTAAGTAACAACTAAGAGTTCTACTAATTCGGGGTTCATTAGTTTAGAATAATGGATCAGTTTGTCTTCTCCACTGAGCTTGTTATTGATCATTTGGTCTAGTTGGCAGACGTGTAGGCTCATGTGGAGGCGCAGAGAAAAGAAACTACAACCACATATGACCAGGTTGTCCGCAGTTCTAGCAAGTGTTAAATTGTTCTTCCGTGGATTGGAACATTTCTCCATCTGCATCATCAATAGCATAGCTGATGTTTTGGTTCATGACACTGATGCCATTTAGGCTGAACCAAGTTATGATATGGAATCAGTGGAGGTGGCGCCATCTGTCGCGGCTACCCATATCAATGGATTGGTTACTCGGATGCTAATTGTGGTTGAGCCTCCACGGCTACCATTGCTAGTTTATTTTGCTCTGGCAATTTGGTTGTAGTTATCACTTCACATGTTGTTGCCACGGGTACAGCTTATGTTAGTAACGTAATATCATTAATGAGCAAATATTGTTGCATTAACTCACTAAGGAGCCCCTCCACAAATTTATTGACCAAGATATCTTCTTGGCCAGATGCCACCATGCTGGTGTATACAGCTATTTTTTTTTTTTTTTTAAGTTTTCGTGGTCACTACGTTTACGAACCTTGAGCAGATGTTGCATCATTTGTATTGTATTGAGTTAGCAATGCCATGCAATAACTTGGCGAAACTGCTTAAGAAAGTGGTTTAAGCTTTTTTTCCAGAACCCATAATTTGTTTCACCTCACTATTTCCTGACAGATGTAGCAAAGGCAATCTATCATCACGCATGTCGTTATATGAAAATAACTGCAGATTCAGTACCGGATCAGATAGTCTTTTGATATTTAGGTCCACTGCTATCCAACAGATAAGTCTAAAGTAACCGAAAAAGTGCATGTTCCAAAAATGTACTGCAAATAATAATTTTAAATTCTGACAGCGAGGGAAAGCAAACACAAGTGAAAAATAAAACAAAATTTTCCTTCACAAAAATTGTGTCTATGTTTATTTACCAAACTTGCCGGCTTCTTATGTTGATTGTTGGGACAATAGAACTTTCTTCACTTTCACAGAAATATTTATCTTATACCTTTTTTATTTTAATTTTTAATAGAGTTAAGAGCGGTATACAATAATCCCAAGCTCTATATGTCATCAACTATTTGAAATAACACATACAAGAGAGAAAATCCCTAACTTGTTCTTTCTACATCAAGTTTACAAGAATATCATAAAGAATACCTCAAGGAAATTTAGAAACTTGCTTGAATATAACTGACTAAAAATATGTTCTACGCCAGTTGTGGAAGAATAAAGTTCATATCTGAAAGCTTGTGTTTTGAAATTGCTCAGTTTATTTTTTTTATGTGAATTTTTTAATTATATAAGCCCATGTGCTTTTACGATTCTATGAATGTATTTCAATTTTGTCTGATATGGCTAATACGTGATTTATATACTTGTTACCTTTATAGGAAGTTTGGTTTATTTGCAACTAAGCACAAAGCTACACAATGGGCTATCTGTGCTCTGTCCACCACGGGTATCGAAACCCGGTTTCTAGCGTTGTAAGTCCGCAGACATACCGCTGTGCCACTGGGGGCAGTATAGGGAGTCTTTTTGTTGTTGCTGAATTTCGCGCAAAGCTGCTCAAGGGCGATTTGTGCTAGCCTATCTAATTTTTAAATGATAAAATAAGAAAAAGGCAGTTAGTTAACATCATCCACACAACTCTTGGGATACTCTTTACTAACGAATAATGGGATTGACCGTATTATTATAACGCCCTTAAGGTTGAAAGGATGAGTGTGTTCAGTAACAAATGACTTTCATTCGCTTTTTTTTTCATCCACCTATTACACAGCAGAAAAGAAAAGAGAAAAGTGTTGAATTTCAAGAGAAAAAATAAAATATTTTGAATTAATTTAAATTTAAAATGCAAATAATCGGACTGTAAAACAATTATTATATAGAAGGGAAAAAAACGATGCCAGATATAAAAAGTTTAAAATATTTTAAGTGTTTTGTGTTTCCATTATAAATAGCTTTTGGGTAATTGATTTAAATGTAATTATACTTTCCTTGGAGAATTGAGCAAGAATGTTAATTAAATCGATATTAATTTTTAGTTTTAAAGTACAGTTTAGTAAGCACAACATTTCTCTGTGGGACAGCGGTATGTCTACGGACATACAATGCTAAAATCCTACGTTCGATTCCCTGTGATGGGCAAACAGATAGTCCAATGTGACTTTGTTCTAAAACCAACAAACGTAACCACAAAAATGTAATCTATTTTTCTTAATTTGATTGACAAATAATTTTAATAACCAATTTATATATTGAAACGCCACCTTTTTAAACCGTGATCTATTTTCGCGGGAATATTATTATAGGTGCTTTTATTGACGTAAGTTAGTTACTTTGCGGGTAAGGACAGGATTGTTGCGTTGCACCTTTTTTTACACCAGTAATATTATTAACGTGTTAAAAGCTTAGTTCTTGAATGTTGCTGAATATCAAAACCTAATATTATCAACAAAAATGGCAATCAGGTTATCAGTTGGATCTGTGAATGTGAGAAGTTCTTTATTGTTAATTAATTCTTTAATAGTTTATACTTTATCAGTTTATAACTCCTTCTCCCCATCTCTTCAGTTAAGATTTTTTTTAAAGTTTTATCAATTAATTATTACTTCAAGTTTGATGGTTTTACTATTACTAGTAATATGGGTATGATATTAAAAGTTAAGTAAGCATTATTATTTTATCTTTCGTTTATTTGGGATGAAATTAACTATTAGTGTTACTTCGTATCTAAGAAAGACTTGGGTAAGACTTGGAAGATTTATGTTTATTATATAATAACATTGCAGTTCTAACAACTGACGTTAAATACAGAGTCAGTCAGTAATCACTAATTCAGTCTGACACAGTGACAACTGCTTCAAGTATTAATGAAGTAACGAAATGGCCAAACAGGTGATGAATAAGAGTAAATTGTTTTTAATTGAGTAGAACAAAAATATACATCCATTTCTGTTTACTTGCATAAAAAGTTGAGTGTAAACCAAAAATTGAGGGTCTTTAAGTTCCACTTGGCACTGTTTTTTTTTCTTTTACACTGTTGTATATTTAATGCTTTTAAGTTGTATGTTTATTTTATTGTTTCACGAATAGGCTAACTGCCAGATCTTGACTTATTGTTATATAATATTAGACTCTTTGCTAAAAAAGGATACACCATTTAGATGGGAAAATAGAAAAATTTAATTTACTTTTAGTACATTAATGGAAATTAAGGCATGCTTCATAGGACTACAGTTATAACTTTTCTTTTAGTACTTGTGTTGCTTCTTAAAATAAGTTTTTCTTGACCTTTGACTTGATAATTTATCTGACAACTTTTAATAAACTTTGTACTTATAGATTTTGCTGCAGGATTTAAGATTTTCAAATTTAAACTTGTCAGTCCCATGAGGTTCTTGAGTCTGACATATATACTCGCACAGTTTTATTGAATTCATTTACCAGTCAGATTTTTAGGGTAAAAATTAATAGTACAATATTTATTTCATTCTGAAAATCTATGTCGCAACTCAACCAGCTAATTGAAACTAGTGTTCCAAATTATTATATTTGATTATTCTAACTATTCAAGTAATTTGAATATTAGCTATTACTTTATCCACTGTTATGTCTGTGGATGGCAGCATGAATATGTTCTTTTGCTTGTAAAAAAATGTACATATTATTTTTCTTTTTTTTAAACAGAAAATCCTTAATAAAGAAGTGGTAGAAAAACCTGTTCTACAGATACTGGTAAGACAGTACCAAGTCAATATGATAAATTTTTGTTCTTTAACCACAACTCATTAAAAACTTGAAGCTTGTAAGAAGTTGAATTTTTTTTCTGACATATGTTTTGCATTTTTATTAGATTGGTCAAATTTTCTGTTACAGTGACTCAAAGCACTAGTAGTCAGTTGTTATTTGATATTCGATATTGTGCGTAGAAAATTTGTATCAGAAAATTGTAGTAAAATGAGCTTTTTTAATTCCTTTCAATTCTTTTCGAGAAAGTGATTTTGAAACAGATAAGTAATGAAAGCTATAAAATAAAGATTTAGTTACATATACGTGAAAAACAAATTTATAAGTATGTATAATAATTAATTAAGATTTCTAAGATTTTCTGATAGCAATGTTTTTTTTTCTAGAGTTACAAACAAATTTCTGGGGGTGGAAATGAGAGGTTCAGACTCCTCCTGTCTGATGGTGAAGCCTGCATTCAATGTAAGTTACTTTTTTTTTTTTTGAGAAAGTTATAATTTGTAATCCTATTATTTCTTTCAATAAAAGAGTAAGATTAAGAGGAAACAGTCTTTTTATAAAGTACATAACACGTGTATATCCACAAAAACATTATCTTAGATATATATACACATTATGTTCAGAAACTGACACTATAATATTTTTATAAATTCACTGAAGTTAGATTTCTAGTCTGTAGAGCTGGGCGATGATCTTTACTAATCGACATAATCTATAACTTAAGAATCGATCACATCAAGTAGCGCAAACTTAAAATGATTAATTTAACTTACAATTACCTCAATTAAAATCACAAAAATAATCAAGTAACAGAAAGTTATTTCCAATTATTTAAACTATCCAAATGATACAAATATTGTCATTATTATTTTCAGTTAATTAAAGGTTGCTCGGCTTAATTGATTAGTGATTATAAGAACTATTTAAGTACATTACATCTGCCTTGTCCAGTGCCAATAAGGCTTTTGCCCAATACTAGGACTTATCAGGCTGATTGGGATATGACTGTTTATTATATCATCAGTTTTCAGTGACTGTTACAGTGTGAACTAGATGAAATAAGCGAATTATAATTATTATCAATTTTATTGAATTCATTTACAAATCATATTTTTACAGTAAAAATTAATAGCACAGTATTTATTTCATTCTTAATATTGATGTCACGACTCAACCAGCTAATTGAAATTAGTGTTCCTGATTATTATTTTTGATTATTCTAACTATTCAAGTAATTGAAGTATTAGCTATTACTATTTCCTCTGGTATGACTAGATCTCATGAATGTGTTCTGCTTGTACACATCTAGCCACAGTGTTGACTGTTATTCTTGTATACCTTGTATTTTTAAATAATAGAGTAACCTTAACTTGATATAATACATATTTATTACAAACTGAAGAAGTAACCAATGTTACTTAGGGTAAGATTGCTTTCATAAAAACAAGTTATAGTAGGGTATTTTCAATATTCTTTATTCACTCACAAATGTTGATTGTTAGATAATTTGCTAAATAAACAGGGTTTGTCAGGAATTACTTGACTTGGTCTAATAAGTCTTTAATCTATTTACATGAACAGGGCTCCTGATTAATTATGACTAACTCCAGCTAGTTAGGAAGCATGTTATGGCATAACAAATGTCTGGCTTTCTTCATGTGCCACATAGACTCTGCTTAGTACAGTAATCCTTAAGTTTAGTTTGATTTCTTAACATGCATGTGTGTTTTTACAGTTTATTCCAGCTTGTACTGTAAAATATAAACATATTAATAATTTTAATGCATTCTTTCTAAATTTCCATCCACATCAAGAACTTCTTGCTTAAAAGCTTATGATGTATCTTTTAAAGTTAGTTATTTTTTTACATTTTTCATACTGAAGATGGCATTAGAAATAAATTTTAAAGTGTCGTAATTAGATATTTTTTTCATACGACTGATTTTAATATTTCTTTTAATACTTTGATTTCTATCTTATGAATCATTTTAATCTCTGCAAAGAATTCATCCAGTATCATCACAAGTTTGCTTGCCAAATAATAAAAGTTAACTGTCTTTGTTTTTTTAAGATTAGCATGAATTTGTTTTCATTGAATCGTATGTTATGTATCACACTGTGACAAAAATATTTACCATTTTTATCACATGAAAGCTAAGGACAACTATTTTAAACAAATAATTAGTTTATTTAGTTTTAGTAAAGTATTGTGAAAATCATATTTTCAGCTTGTTACAATTTTCATAATCTTGTGTATGTAATACATTTTCACATACAATAGTTTAGAATTAAAAAGTGACTTCTTCCTATATTGTTGTACTTGAAGATGTCCATCATATTAAACAAAGGGTAATTCAAAATTGTCTAACAACATTTAAAATGAGCTGAAACAGGAAGATTAGTCTTGTGAGATTAATTGATTAATTAAATATCATCAATTAATGAACTTAACAATTAATCAGTTGGCTAGTTCCACTAATCACCCAGCTTCCCTTGTTTTTGTTTGTTAATGTAGAATGGACTCTTTACTACTAGCAATGTTTATAAATTGAAATGTTACACAGTGAATGTAAACTATGAAAGATAAGTGTATAATTATAATGTTATGAGTGATGGTGACTCTGTACTACTAGCAATTTGTATAAATTGAAGTGTTACATAGTGGATGTAAACTATGAAAGATAAGTGCATAATTATAATATTGAGAGTGATGGTTATTGTTTCCGCAGTATATGCAAAATTCTGAAACATGAGGTAAGAATTTAGTGACTAAAACTGCATTAAAAGTTTAGTAATATTTAAAGAATAGTATCAATATTGTTCAACTTGATCTTAGTTTAAGGCTTCATGAATGAACTTGTCTCCTCTGTTTCAGTTGCAATGTTGGCCACACAGTTGAATACACTGATTCATAAAGGTGAACTAGAACGGAACACAGTGATTTGCCTTGATAAGTACCTCTGTAATGAGGTTCAACCAGGAAAGTATGTTACTGTTCTTCCTTCAATTCTGAATTTTTATTCTGCATTATATTTCCATATCTATTAAGCATTAACAAAATATATATATCCATTATGAACCAGCTTAATCAGTCTAGTTTTGTAAAATGTTTTGTTAAGAAGTCACTTCACACATAAATTTGTGCTCTATCCTACCTTCAGTTTTGTTCCAGTTATTAAGTTTACAACTTTGCCTAACAGTGATCCTTGCCTCAATAGTCTGTCTGGTATTGCAATTTGGTGTAATTTTAGAGACATTACTGACCTGAAGAAGGAACATGAAAATGATTTGAAATGTTGTCCAATTACCAGACAAATTGTCTATAGATTGTCCATATTGCATTTTGAATGTCTCATTGGACCATGTTTTAAGCATATAAATAGTCTGCTATTTCTGCTTTCAGATATTGCTGAGAAATGTAGGTCTTTGTTTTAAGACAGTTGTTGTATCTAAAGGTTAATCTGTTTTGCTGTTGCTGTGATCTGTACTAAATCACTAAATAGTTGGATATCCTTGTATGGAAGCTCTTGATTCTTTTTCAGGAACACTGTTCAAGGTATCCTTCCTTTATTTTTGTTTAAAAAGCTGACTCTAAGGTAAAGGATTGTTGATATGGCCATGGTTTGCAGTAACTCTGTGATTGATTTTGGATTCTTTCTTTGGGTTTCCATGTGAGCAGAACTAAGTGGAATCTCACTTGCTGTGAGGCATATAGTCTAAATATTAGTCAGAGTACCATTTGCACTGACTCAGTTAGCTCTTTGCTGACCCTGGAATTGCTTAATGATATTCCATACTTTGTTCATTTTCAATACACAAGAAACTTCTCGCTGTTCTCACAATTTTATCCAGTTTTGCTAAATCACTGGCTGTTGATTTGGGCTCTTTGTTTTAATGGATTCACTTATGGATTTTAAACATTCTATCAGTGAGGGGTTTTTTACTTCTTGGTTGAAGCTTTAGAAAGAAAAGCAGTCTCTTTTTCAGGTTAAGCCTTAAATAGAATACTGGGCATTTAGTTTGTGAGATTTGGTGAAAGTGCAGTGGATTGGTTTTTTTAGTTACCAATGTCTTTTATTTTGCAATAGTCAATCAACATGTGAGATGAAGTACTCAACTGTCTGTTATCCATAGTTTATTTTGTTGCTATTGTACTTTGGTATTCATTGATGGTAGTGTTTTTAGAGATTTATTCATATTATACCTTATATATTGGACATTGTCATTTGGTGCAATGATATTAACTTGATTTTAACTTTACAAATATTACTAGCTTTTATAATGTAACTTGCACTTGATAATATTTAATTTTACAATTCATTTATAGTTGTTTTGATTTTGTTGTTTTATAATTTTTTAACATTTTAATCAATCTCATTTAACTCTTGATTAACTTTAAATGCTGTATATCAATAAACTCTTAATTCAAGCGAGTCTGCTGACTGAGCATAAGTGCAGAAGAAATGTTTAATTTAATGACCACGGTTGGAAGTATAAAGGATTCAAAATTGATCTAGTAGACTGTCTCACAGCTAATTTTAATACTACTGAAATGTATAGTGATCTAGATTTCACACTGAAATTTGATGGCTCCAGTGATTTAATAAAATATTAATGCAATTTAAACTTGTGAAACTACACTAGACCTATTACTTAAGCATGTAAAAATGTTTTATAAGAACGTGAATCCTTCTGTTTATTTGAATCAAGAATAAGCTTTTACATGTTATCTTTCGATTTTGACTTAGAATGAGTTCAGTGTTTTAATATACACAATTTTTCTTTCTTCTGATTAAGCTTTTGCACAGTAGATTTTGTTTGTTTTTAACATCATGATTCATTTTGTGTACAATCAGAATTTGTAACCTTTTCTGTCACTCATTCATAATTTGTGTATATGAACTAGTGCCATCATGTGTAATGTATTGCAGTAAATTTCAAAGTAATTACACAGTTAGATTGTCAAAGTGGCACCTATCATTGTGTTTGTTAATATTAAAGTATGTTACATGTGTGTAGGCATGTATGTTATTTTATTTCTATTCAATTAAAATGCACCAGAGTAAAGCATTTTATATTTAGAATTACAAGATCACATAAAGCAGTTTTTTTTTCTAGAGGACAATTGTGATTACTTTAAATCATGTTACCTCTTTCAAGATGGGTCAGGGGGTGAAAGGTCATGTCATCTTGTTTGTTAACTTGCATTCAAAATTTTATTGAACTACTATTTCATGAATTTATGTCAATAAGTTTG